AGGAGTCAGACGCCGACCTGCCAAAGGAAGGCAAAAGACAGTTCTCCCCGCCAACAGAAGAGCTCGAGCTTGTTCCTTTACTTAGCCCTGAAAAACAAGTAAGTATAGGAACCAAGCTGGGGGCCACTGACAGGGAAGAACTGATCAACTTCCTCAGGTCTAACTCAGACGTCTTCGCATGGTCTCACAAGGACATGCCTGGTATCGACCCGAAGATCATGGTGCATCGCCTCAACATAGACCCATTATTCCGACCTGTAAAGCAAAAAAGAAGACTTGTAAATAAAGAGATGAGTGATGTAATTGTTGAGGAAGTAAACAAACTCTTAAAAGCTGAATATATACGAGAAATTCTGTATCCTGAGTGGCTCTCTAACGTTGTATTAGTTAAAAAATCCAACGGGAAGTGGAGGACGTGCGTGGACTTTACAAATTTAAATAAGGCGTGCCCAAAAGATTGCTTCCCCCTTCCAAGGATCGACCAGCTCGTGGACGCAACAGTCGGGCACGAGCTACTCACCTTCATGGATGCCTACTCCGGATACAACCAAATTAAAATGCATTTGCCAGACCAAGATCACACCGCGTTCATAACAGACCAAGGTCTGTACTGCTACAAGGTGATGCCTTTTGGCCTAAAGAATGCAGGTGCGACCTACCAAAGGATGGTGAACAAAATGTTCGCCAAGCAGATCGGTCGGAATATGAAAGTGTATGTGGACGACATGCTTGTAAAGAGCAAGCAGTCAAAGTCGCATCTTTCCGATCTAACCGAAGCCTTTGGAGTGCTACGCAAGTACCAAATGAAGCTCAATCCGACCAAGTGCGCCTTCGGAGTCTCCTCGGGAAAATTCCTTGGTTTTATGGTAAATAACCGTGGGATTGAGGCTAACCCAGAGAAGATAAAGGCCGTGCTCGAGATGGAGGCACCCAAGACTCTAAAGCAGCTTCAGTGCCTCAATGGCAGGATTGCAGCCTTGAATAGGTTCGTGTTAAGATCGACGGACAAGTGTCTTACGTTCTTCAAAGTTCTTAGGAAGAAGGGACCGTTCGAATGGACGAAAGAGTGTGAGCAACCGCTGGGGCAGTTAAAAGACTATCTCTGCTCGGCACCTCTACTCGCGAAGCCATTACCAGGGGAATAACTTCATTTGTACCTGGCGGTATCTGCTAGCGCCGTCAGCTCGGCACTGATCAAGCAGGAGGGCGCGAGCCARAGCCTCGTTTATTACACCAGTAAGGCCATGACCGAGGCCGAGACCAGATATCCCCAAATGGAGAAGCTGGCCCTCGCTTTAGTCACCTCGGCCCGAAGACTTAGGCCGTACTTCCAAGCGCACACGGTCGTGGTACTTACAAACTTGCCCCTGAAGAATATCTTCCTTAAGCCTGAAACATCAGGGCGTCTGATGAAGTGGGCATTGGAATTGAGGGAGTACGACATCCAGTTCGAGCCCAGAACTGCGATGAAAGGACAAGCAGTGACCGATTTTATCGCAGAGCTCACTCCACCACCTCAGTTGGTCAAATCCGACCTCCCGTGGACGATCTTCGTTGATGGGTCTTCTAACGAGAGGGGGTGCGGGGCAGGAATCCTCTTGCTCGCACCAGAAGGTGAGCGATTCGAATATGCTCTGCGGTTCAACTTTCGGACCTCAAATAATGAGGCCGAGTACGAAGCACTCGTAGCAGGCCTGCGCGTTGCCAAAGAACTGGGGGCCAGTCACATAAAGGTCTTTARTGACTCCYARCTAATTGTAAATCAGATCAAGGAGGAGTACCAAGCGAAGGACCCCCGGATGGAAAAATATCTGAGCAAGGTCAGATCGCACCTCGCCCAGTTYGGGACTTACGAGGTGAGTCAAGTTCCAAGATCTGAGAACTCTAATGCAGATGCCTTAGCCAAATTGGCATCAGCATACGAGACCGACCTGGCTAGGTCGGTCCCGGTCGAAATCCTAGACACTCCTTCAATCTTGGAGCCAGATGTAATGGAGGTTGATACTCCATCACTCACTTGGATGGACCCAATCGTGGAGTTCATCAAAGGAAACCCACCGCAAGATCCGAAGGAGCAAAAGAAGATGRCGCAGAGAGCAGCTCGGTTCACACTCCAAGAAGGAATGTTGTACCAACGTGGCTTCTCCCTGCCTCTCCTCAAGTGTGTGACTCCCGAAGAAGGCCTTTACATTCTTAAGGAAGTTCATGAATGGGTGTGTGGAAACCACTCTGGCGCCAGGTCGTTGTCGGCCAAGGTGGTTCGACAAGGGTACTATTGGCCCAGTGTCGAGCAGGATGCAAGGCAGTTTGTGAAAGCTTGTGACAACTGCCAGCGTTTCGCAAACATTATCCATCAACCTCCCGAACTGATCACCCCCATCTCGGCCCCATGGCCATTTGCGCAATGGGGGGTGGACATCRTAGGTCCTTTTCCTCTGGGCAAAGGACAAAAAAAGTTCGCCGTTGCCGCTGTGGACTACTTCACTAAATGGGCTGAAGCCGATGCACTATCCCACATCACAGAGTCCAGAGTCACGTCGTTCATATGTACAAACATTGTGTGCCGCTTCAGCATACCAAATGCTATCGTGATAGACAACGGAAAACAATTTGACAATGCAAAGTGCAAGGACTTTTGCAGAAAACTTGGTATAAGCCACCTCAGTTCGTCCCCTACGCATCCAAAAGCGAATGGACAAGTTGAAGCAGTAAACAAGATCATAAAGCGAGGACTCAAGCTAAGGTTGGACTCCAGAAAGGGAAGATGGGCCGAKGAGCTACCTGAGGTTCTGTGGTTATATCGAACCACCCCACGGGAGTCAACTGGCGAAACTCCGTTCTCGCTAGCCTTTGGTTCCGAAGCTGTTGTACCAGTCGAGATCGGCATACCAACAGACAGGGTAGAATAGTACGAGCCAACGAAGAACGAGGAAGAKCTACTCCTTAACCTGGACTTATTGGAAGGGAAAAGGGAAATGGCTCAGCTGCGCTTAGCAGAGTATCAAAACAGAATGACCAGACATTACAATGCCCGAGTTCGACCTCGAAGCTTCCAAGTTGGACATTTGGTCTTRAGAAAAATTCAGAGTCATGTTGGCACCCTTGACCCAAGTTGGGAGGGACCATTCGAAGTCAAAGGCATAGTCCGACCTGGAACTTATATGCTGGCTSACCTGGAGGGGAGAGTGCTTGCGCATCCATGGAACGCGGAGCACTTGAAGCGCTATTACCCCTGAAATGTCAAAATAGTCCCAAAATGGGCTTGTAAAAATTTTCAAGGGGCGGAACTTTCATTAAATGGGGTTATTTAATTTCATAACTCCGAGTTCGATTAGAAATTAAATGGGGCCACRGACTCCCATAAGACTTAAAATCGGCAAAGTAAGGGCAAAAATTGATCAAATTCGATCCTCAAAACCCACGGGTTCGAGGTGCGATGTCAAAATCAATTACGAACCAAAATTCAATCCTTTGAACGCTTAAGATAAAKGTGCGATGTTGAAGGTTCAAGAAATTCAATCCTCTAAACCTACGGGTTCGAGGTGCGATGTAAATATTAACTACGGACACAAAATTCAACCCTTTGAACGTACAAGTTAAAGGTGCGACGTAGAAAGTTCCAATTGCTGTGTTCTTTCGGACTTCCGAGTTCGAGGAGAAGTATTAAAGATTGACAAAAGAAACTCTCAAATTCAAACCTTAGGTAAGAGGTACGATGTGAAAAGAGTTATCTTAAAGCTTAAGCCCAAAGTTAAGTTAGGGGTGCGATCCTTTAAGTTAGAGGTGCGAGGTGAATTTATTCATTTGTAAGTTCCAACTTTCAAAACCAAGGTTAAAAACTTAAAAGAAGAAGT